TGGGACATAAAGCAGCCCTCAATAAATATAAAAGAATAGAGATCATACCATGCACACTGTCAGATCACAATGCTTTGAAACTTGAAATCAATTACAGGAAGAAGTCTGGAAAACCGCCAAAAACATGGAGGTTAAAGAACACCCTTCTAAAGAATGAATGGGCCAATCAGGCAATTAGAGAGGAAATTAAAAAATATATGGAAACAAATGAAAATGAAAACACAACAATTCAAAATCTATGGGATGCGGCCAAGGCAGTCCTAAGAGGAAAGTACATTGCTCTCCAGGCCTATTTCAAGAGATTAGAAAAAGCACAAGTCCAAAATCTAACAGCTCACCTAAAGGAGCTAGAGGCAGAGCAACAAGAACGCCCTAAACCCAGTAGAAGAAGAGAAATAGTAAAAATTAGAGCAGAAATAAACAACATAGAGACCAAAGAAACAATTGAACAGATCAATGAAACCAAGAGTTGGTTTTTTGAAAAAGTAAACAAAATTGACAAACCTCTAGCCAGGCTTATCAAAAAGAAAAGAGAGAGCACCCAAATAGACAAAATTATGAATGAAAATGGACTTATTACAACCAACCCCTCAGAAATACAAGCAATTATCAGGGAATACTATGAAAAATTATATGCCAACAAATTGGACAACTTAGAAGAAATGGACAAATTCCTAAACACACACTCACTACCAAAATTCACACGGGAAGAAATAGAAAACCTGAACAGACCCATAACGAGTGAAGAAATCGAATCAGTGATCAAAAATCTCCCAACAAATAAGAGCCCTGGACCTGATGGTTTCCCTGGGGAATTCTACCAGACATTTAAAACAGAATTAATCCCAATTCTTCTCAAGCTATTCCAAAAAATAGAAGTCGAAGGAAAACTCCCGGACTCATTTTATGAAGCCAGCATCACTCTGATTCCCAAGCCAGACAGAGATCCAACAAAAAAAGAGAACTATAGGCCAATATCCTTGATGAATACGGATGCAAAAATTCTCAACAAGATCCTTGCAAATCGAATCCAGCAGCATATCAAAAGAATCATCCACCAAGATCAAGTGGGATTCATTCCTGGGTTACAGGGCTGGTTCAACATTCGCAAATCAATCAATGTGATCCATCATATCAATAAAAGAAAAGATAAAAACCATATGATCCTGTCAATAGATGCAGAAAAAGCATTTGACAAAATACAGCATCCCTTCTTAATAAAGACTCTCGAGAAAGTTGGGATAGAAGGAACCTACTTAAACATCATCAAAGCCATCTATGAGAAGCCTTCAGCTAACATCATCCTCAACGGGGAAAAACTGAGAGCTTTCCCCCTGAGATCAGGAACACGACAGGGATGTCCACTCTCACCACTGTTGTTTAACATAGTGCTGGAAGTCCTAGCATCAGCCATCAGACAACAAAAGGAAATCAAAGGCATCAGAATTGGCAAAGAGGAAGTCAAACTTTCACTCTTCGCAGATGACATGATACTCTACATAGAAAACCCGACAGACTCCACCAGAAGCCTACTAGAACTGATCCAAGAATTCAGCCAAGTTGCAGGGTACAAAATCAACGTACAGAAATCGGTTGCATTTTTATACACCAATAATGAAGCAACAGAAAGAGAAATCAAGAAACTGATCCCATTCACAATTGCACAAAAAACCATAAAATACCTCGGAATAAACCTAACCAAGGATACAAGAGATCTGTATGATGAAAACTATAGAAAACTTATGAAGGAAATTGAAGAAGACACAAAGAAATGGAAAAACATTCCATGCTCATGGATAGGAAGAATAAATATAGTTAAGATGTCATTACTACCTAAAGCACTCTACACATTCAATGCAATTCCAATCAAAATTGCACCAGCATACTTCTCAAAACTAGAACAAACTATCCAAAAATTTGTATGGAACCACAAAAGACCCCGAATAGCCAAAGTAATACTGAAAAATAAAACCAAAACGGGAGGTATCACCATCCCAGACTTCAGCCTCTACTACAAAGCTGTCATCCTCAAGACAGTATGGTATTGGCACAAAAACAGACACATAGACCAATGGAACAGAATTGAGAACTCAGAAGTGGACCCAAAAGTATACAGCCAACTGATCTTTGACAAAGCAGGAAAGAATATCCAATGGAAAAAAGACAGCCTTTTTAACAGATGGTGTTGGGAGAACTGGACAGCAACATGCAGAAGAATGAAACTAGATCATTTTCTCACACCATGCACAAAAATCAACTCAAAATGGATAAAGGACCTGAACGTGAGACAGGAAACTATCAACACCCTAGAGGAGAAAGCAGGAAACAACCTCCTTGACCTCCACCGCAGCAACTTCTTACTTGACACATCCCCAAAAGCAAGGGAATCAAGAGCAAAAATAAACTGTTGGGACCTCATCAAGATTAAAAGCTTCTGCACAGCCAAGGAAACAACCCAGAAAATTAATAGGCAACCAACGGAATGGGAAAAGATAGTTGCAAATGACATATCAGATAAAGGGTTAATATCCAGAATCTATAAGGAACTCACCAAACTCCACGCCCGAAAAACAAACAACCCAGTGAAGAAATGGGCAGAAGACATGAACAGACACTTCTCCAAAGAGGACATCCAGATGGCCAACAGACACATGAAACGATGCTCAGCATCCCTCCTCATCAGGGAAATACAAATCAAAACCACACTGAGATACCACCTCACGCCAGTCAGAGTGGCTAAAATGAGCAAATCAGAGAACTCTAGATGCTGGCGAGGATGTGGAGAAACGGGCACCCTCCTACACTGTTGGTGGGAATGTAAACTGGTACAGCCCCTCTGGAAAACAGTGTGGAGGTTCCTCAGGAAACTAACAATAGAACTCCCTTATGACCCAGCAATAGCACTGCTAGGAATTTACCCAAGGGATACAGAAATGCTGAGGCATAGGAGCACATGTACCCCAATGTTCATAGCAGCACTCTCCACAATAGCTAAAACATGGAAAGAGCCTAAGTGTCCATCAACAGATGAATGGATCAAGAAGATGTGGTTTATCTATACCATGGAATACTACAGGGCAATGAGAAAGAATGAAATCTGGCCATGTGTAGCAACATGGATGGACCTTGAGGGTGTTATGCTGAGCGAAATAAGCCAGGCAGAGAAGGACAAATATCACATGTTTGCACGTATAGGAGGATTAGGAGGAACTTAACAGAGGACCAAGGGGGAGAAGAAGGGCGGAAATGGTGGGGGAAAGGGAGAGAGGCAAACCATGAGAGACTCTTGAATGCTGACAAAAACTGAGGACTGATGGATGTGGGGGGGAGGAGGGATGGGCATGGAGGAGGACACTTGTGGGGATGAGCACTGAGTGTTATGTGGAATCTAATCTGACAATAAACTATTTGTAAAAAAAAAAAAAAAAAAGAATTGTGCTGACACATCTCTAGTTGTCAAGTGTAATCACTGTCATGGTGATTTTACCTGGGGTCTGAACACTAGCTTCCATACTGGCTGCCCATCCCTGCGATTCCTCGCAAACCGGATTCACATTCCTTCCATGTGTTGCTGCTCCTGGGGGCTAATTATGACCAGGAATATTCATAACAGCATAATACCCTGGAGTCTCCATAAATGACACTGATCTGGGAAATAGTAGAGTTGGTCTCCAAGGTTCAAACCAGCACCCCAGCTTTCCGAAGGAATTCAACTCCCATACCTGTTGTTCGAGCAAAGCTCCCGTTCCAAAGTCCACACCACTTCCACAGTTGAGTTGGAATGTATGAATGCCTGACTGCTTCCATGATGCAAGACGTAAATATAGCTCTTGCTCAGGTATTTTTGTAATGACAATTTCAGCATATACATTTGTATCACAAAGATAGCTTGCCTTGGTTCAAAATAGATTTTGCCATCTGGATGGGAAGAGTCTGGAAGTCATGAGGAGTGGAAGGAGAGTCGAAAGGCCCGAGGTGTGCATTCGAAGGAAGAACTGAAGTAAGGCGAGCTTTGGCCCAAATGCTTTAAGGCGATGCTACTGGTCACGGGGGCCGGGCTTCGTTCTGAGGGCATTCAGGAGACCCGGTGAGGGTCTCCAGCTAGGAACAGAGGACAGGCTTCCTGCCACTGGGGGGGCATGCAGAGCGGGGAGGGTCCTGGCGTGGAAGAAGCTGCCGTGGAGGCTCGCAGATGATCTGGGAGCAGAGCGTGGACAGGAGGGCCCATGGTGGGGACTCCTGGCCCTGGGAACCCTGAGAGCTTTACAGTCTATGAAGTGACATATGGGCCATAAAGGGGCAGCGTGAGCAGCATTACGACCGAGACTCAGCAGGGCTGTCCCAACATGTCAAGGCTACTTGACCTTCAGACATTCCAATTTTGTTTTACTGTTTACTTATTTTTGAGAGAGGGAGAGAGCATGAGAGGGGGAGGGACAGAGAGAGAGAGAGAGAGAGAGAGAGAGAGAGAATCCCAACCAGGCTCCAGGCTCTGAGCTGTCAGCACAGAGCCTGATGTGGGGCTCGAACCCATGAATCACGAGATCATGACCAGAGCGGAAGTCGGATGCTTAACTGACTGAGCCAGCCAGGTGCACCTAGACCTTCAGACTTTCTAAACTTCTCTCCCTCATTTTGCCCAGCTGTAAACCAAAGATAAAAATGGTGAGGATTAAGGGTGTTAATATGGGTGAAGGACACACGAGAGAGCCTGATACGAAGTAAGTGCTCAGTAGATGTTAGCGGTCATTGGCGTTGATCTCATCATCCTCACGATTATTGTCACAAGAAATTGGGGCCTGCATGCCCACAGATTTGTTTTTTAGGGACCAGGAGCCTATAAATCAAGAGTCTAAGTTTTAGGAATAGATATTAACATTCACAGCGTGAATCATCTGTAAATGTTAACTAATTGTGTCTTTCGGGGAGGGTGCATTCTAGCCACCAAATGACAATGAAGAGAACTGTAATGAAGCTTCCGCCGGCTGGGGAGGTGGTACCTTTGGTTTGTGCGCTCTCTGCTGCTGTCCGAGGGACTCGTCCCAGACCCTGAGGTTTGTCGCCAGCCTGCGATGACTTCGTCTACCTAAAATAGAAATATAACATGCACTAAGCGGTACATTCTTCTCTGACATAGCGTCAAAAATATACAACATTTGAAGTCTTTCCACATAGGCCATGAAGGAGTGTAGCTGTAAGCCCTGCACGTGGTACGATAAAGTGACATCACACACTACATCTGTCTTGCAAAGCCACAGCTATCCTTCATGTGCCAAAGGCCAAGCAGTGGGGGGATGTGGTGAATTAATTCATGTAACACATTTTTTTTTGAGAGCCAGCAACCTGCCAGATGCTGCTTGGGGTTGTGGGGATTTAGATGTGGTTGAGACGCCGCCTATGAACAGCACCCCCCCCCCCACCTGGCATGTGCTGCAGTGGAAAGCAGGCCAAGCTGCAGGCTCAAGTCTCTCCCTTCCTGGCACACTGTACCCCCGGTCCTTCCTTCATAAAATGAAGGGATTAGATATGAGCTCAAAGGCCCCTTTGGGTATGAAAACTTCTGTAATTCTTCCACTTCTTTTTTTTTTTAAGTCTATTTTTTGGGGGGGGTGGGGTAGAAAGAGGGAGAGAGAGAATCCCAAGCAGGCTCCACGCTGTCAGTGCAGAGCCCAATGTGAGAGTCCATCTCGTGAATTCTGAGCTGAAGTCAGATGCTCAATTGACTGAGGCACCATGGCGGCCCAAGAACCAGTGCTTTAGATGGTGCAGAGTATATTTATCTATCATATTTGACAACAGTTCAATCTGTGTTTGTGTGTGTGATTTAGTTCAGCTCCCTTACACAGAGGAACAGGCACAGAGGAGGCTTGCCATTCCCTTCCCATAGACCTCATGGAAGGGTCCATGTGCAACACGGAAAGGAAGGATCTGCTGAAATGACACACTTTCAACATGTGTGCTGGACACCTGACCAGGAAAAATACCACACGTGGTGTGTGCAATGGCCAGACTTTTGCTGAGACTCTGGGAGGAATGGACACTGCATATACTAAGGACACTCAATTTCAAGTCTGAAAGAGCTCGTTCAGAAACATCTTGAAAGAGAGAGTTCCAGAACTGAAAAGGCCACATAATCAAGGACCACAGATGAATGAGGGGTAGTCGGCAGAACAAAAACTTGTAGAAGAATACTGTGGGGGAATCAGCAACTCAAGCTACCCGAGCAATGTTCACTGAATAATTAAAGGAGGTGACTCATGGGAAGGTTTGCCCAAATGAAGCAGATTCTATAATCATTAAACATAGGGCTGGGGTTTTTTTTGTTTGTTTGTTTTGTTTTGTTTTGTTTTGTTTTTTGATTTTTGGAGGAGGTTAATTCTAAAATGTTTTATTTGCTATGTTTTAAAATATACTAATGTCACTATTTTGTTTTCCATTCATTTCTTGCTGGCTAATGATTGATGCCATCTTTTCAGATGTTAGTGTTGGTAAGGTATGAATGGGAACACTCTTTTAATATAAAAACTTGAGTGGTTTTCATCCTTTTCTTTAACTGAACTAGTGGGATCAATTCAAATATTTCCCCCTCCTTCCTGGCCTATCCTTAATGAGATGGAATCACTTTTTAGTGACTCTTGAGTTCAGTTCTGGCTTGTTAAGCCATATTAATGTCAAACATGAAGGAAAAGAGAGAATTCTGCTCGGGGGCTAAACAGACACCTCCAGTTAAGGGGGGCAGAGAGAGGTGGTAGATGTTAGGGTGATGAGAACTGGCACCTTCCTCCTGCAGCGTCTGAGGGAGACGGAGTCTCTGGGAGGCGTGGCTGCGCGGTTGTGCAGAGCATACAGTCTGCTAGAATTTTTCGCAACGATGGAAGTGTCCTGTGCTGTCCAGCATGGCTTTCCTGAACATTTGAGATGTGGTTCGCACACCTGAGCTCCTGAAGATTTACTTTTATTTAAATTGAAGTAATTTTAACTGCCCAAGCCAGAGGGATGGGAACATGATTACAGTGAGCCCTGAATGCATGTGTGGGCTTCCCGATTCTTCGTGCGGGTGAAGGACGTCCATCCACACCGGTTACTCCTAATTTATCGATGGTCCGTGACTATGTGGCCTTTTGGGTTCTGGAACTCTCTGCTGCTTCCTTGACGTGCCTGGGACCTGGTAGTCTTACGGAAGCATGAGGACCTGGAGCCTGTGCCTGCTGTCTCTGATCACTGTAGGGTCTCAGGCTGCTCCCCGAGCCTGGCTCAGGACAAGTCTGAAGGACCTTGTGGGTTGCAGAGCTCGCTGGGCTGGGCGGTGGCTGAGGTCTTTGTCAGGCCTGCACTGAAGCTCACTTTCTCCTTTCCTGCTCCCGGCTCCTTCCCTGCCCCTCACAGGCGTGGCTGTCTGCAGGGCCTTCCCTCACAAACTATCCCTGGGGAGCAATGGCATCTTTGCATTTTAAAAACTTTTTTGAATACTTTAATTACATTAAATGAGGCCAATGTTAGTGAAAAATCATGAAAATGTCACTTTTAAGAACAAAGCTCTTGAACCAAAAGTACAAATTCTGTGTCACTTCACTTTGTAAACACACCAACAAGAAGGGGAGCATATGCATAATTAGAGTCTTAAAACACCCCGCTTCTAACACTGTTATTTGTCACATAATAACCTCAGACAAAGATGCTCTGTGTTTATGGAAATGCAAATAGCATCACAAATTTGGAACTTTTCTTCGCAGGGAATTTGCTGTGCACCAGAATCTAAATGTGTTTCTTAGTTTTAAGAGATATTTTCAGCTTATTTAGCTCCAAAGATTCTTTTAAGTTTAAAAGTTAGAAGGAGGGGCGCCTGGGTGGCTCAGTCGGTTAAGTGTCTGACTTTGGCTCAGGTCATGATCTAGTTTGCAGGTTTGAGGCCCGCGTCAGGCTCTGTGCTGACAGCTCAGAGACTGGAGCCTGCTTCAGGTTCTATATCTCCCTCTCTCTCTGACCCGCCCCTGCTCATGCTGTCTCTCTCTCTCTCTCTCAGAAATAAATTAAACATAAAAAAATTAAAAATAAAAAAATAAAAAATAAAAAAATAAAAAATAAAAGAAGGAACTAAGGAATCAGCACTAAGAAAAGTATTTATACCAACATTCGTATCAACGCCAAAATTTATCTTAACACCAATATTTATATTCACAGCAAGTAAAACACTCCCAATGAGCTCTGATTTTCCCCGGCAATAGTGACGCTGTTTTCCTACCACACCTACGGCACCAGCATCGTTCTTCCTCTAGGAAGTGATGTTCATTAACGTTAACCATCTTATTCATTTGTGCTAAGTGTGTTTAGGGATGACTGATGGAAAGCTATAAGGCCCAAACTATGTTCAATAAATTAGATCAGGGGGACTAATAGTTTCCTGAATCCATAGAAAGAAATGTAATCAGCTTTCTGAAAATTCGATTGTGGGGCAGGCACAAAGGTACAAATTAACATTTTCATGATGTGATACTACTTTAATTCTCAGAGAGTCGTGCAATGTCATGCAGCGGAAAGTTGGGAGTGAACATGGAGGTAGGAACCAATTCTCCTCTACAGAAGGCAAAAGTTGCTTCTACAGCATTTTTGCCAGATGACGTTCTAGTCTTTGCTGACATAGTTCCCTGGGATGGAGACTCATGACGTCCTGAGGCGGCAGCTGGCACGGAGGCACTCCACCCCCACTTATTTTATTTTATTATTTTATTTTAATTTAATTTAACTTATATTTTATTCCATTATTTTTGTTTTATTTATTTTATTCCATTCCATTTTATTTTATTTTATTCCATTCCATTCCATTTTATTTTATTCTATTCCATTCCATTCCATTTTATTTTATTTTATTTTATTCCATTTTATTTTATTATTTTATTTTATTCCATTCCATTCCATTTTATTTTATTCTATTCCATTCCATTCCATTCCATTCCATTTTATTTTATTTTATCCTATTCCATGTTATTTTATTATTTTATTTTATTCCACTCCATTTGATTTGATTTGATTCCATTTTATTTTGTTTTATTTTTTATTTTATTATATATATATATATATTTAAAGAAAGGCAGACTGCCACATGCAGCTCTTTGGTTGTGTCTGGAGTTTGGAAGCTTGACTTATCCTACGTTCTCCTACAATTGTGCTTTGAGAGCTTGTCTGGAGTCCCTATCTGGGAATTGCTGCCACTCGTATACCTTTGACTAAAGAATGGTCCTCCACTATCAGGGAAAGTCACCTCTTGGACTGAGTGAAGCTCTGGGAGGGACACACGTGGAGCAGTGAGGGTGGACGGGGACACCCACCTCGCCAGCTAGACCAGCTGAATCCACCCTGGTGATCAATGGGGGGGACAGATGTCACAGCCAGATTGCCTTCATATCCTATTTTATTTTTTTACTGCAGTTTATTGGTTTTTTAATTTCACACTTTAAATTAAATTCCAGTTAGTTAGCATAGAATGTAATGTTAGTTTCAGGAGTAGAATTCAGTGATTCATCACTTCCATACAATACCCAGTGCTCATCCCAACCAGTGCCCTTCTTAATGCCCGTCACACATCTAGCCGGTCCCTCTGCCACCTCCCTCCATCAGCCTTCAGTTTGTCCTCTATTGTTAAGAGTCTGTTTTATGTTTGCCTCTCTTTTCCCCCCTAAGTTCATCTGTTTCCTAAATTCCAGATATGGGTGAAATCATATGGTATTTGTCTTTCTCTTATTGATTTATTTTGCTTAGCATAATACACTCTAGTTGCACCCACATCATTCCAAATGGTAAGTTTCATTCTCTCTGATCACTGAGTAGTATTCCATTATATATCTATAACACATCTTCTTCCTTTTTAAAATATAATTTATTGTCAAGTTAGCTAACATACAATGTTTACAGTGTGGTCTTTTGGAGTAGATTCCTGTGATTCATCACTTACATACAACACCCAGTGCTCATCCCAACAAGTGCCCTCCTCAATGCCCATCACCCATTTTCCCCTCTCCCCTGCTGTGCCCCCATCAACCCTCAGTTTGTTCTCTGAATTTAAGAATTTTTATGGTTTGCCTCCCTCTC